TCAGAATGAGAGTCCAAACAGCTGATAAAAACATCACAATAATCCACAAGTAATCCACAGCACTCCAGTCCATGTTTTTAAGAAACAAATCCATCAAGATGTTTTGAAATTGAAATCATTGCTTCTGGCCAAAATGAAAGTCCATAATCCAAATTCCAAAATAATGCTTTCTTCTGTGAAAAATACCATCCTCTGTTGTCTCTCACATCAAAATCCACACATATATTTGTTTAAAACTGTTTTGGCTTGTAAACGGTGCTTGATCTGTGCAGATTTCTTTCCTGATTCAGGCCTGATTTCACTGGAGGAAGCGTTATTATGGACTCATATTTTAGACAGAAGCAATGGTTTGAAAACACCGTAATTATAGATTTATTTATTTTTAATCACAAACATGCAGCTTTTGTCTTCTCCAGATGTTAACTGATGGACTGGAGTGCTGTGGATTATTGTGATGTTTTTATCAGCTGTTTGGACTCTCATTCTGACGGCACCCATTCACTGCAGAGCATCCATTGCTGAGACACTGATGCAATGCTACATTTCTCCAAATCTGATGAAGAAACAAACTCATCTGCATCTTGAATGACCTGAAGGTGTGTAAATTTACAGAAAGTTGTCATATTTGTGTGAATTATTCCTTTAACACATTTCTCTGCTACTGAAGATTCGTGCATGATCTGTCGCCCAACTAAATAAATATGTAGACTGTTTGCGATGATAAAGTAATACTAATCAAATACTGGCATCCGAGTACATCATCAGCAACACCCAAAATCATCAAACAATCAATCAATGATTAACAGGTTACTTACACTACCAGCCCACACATCCGATCTCTGCCCTGAGAGTTTATAATATACATATATCGTCTCTCCTTTCTTAAAAGAGAGAAACCGGCAGTCCGGCCCTGTGAAATCCTTGGCGGCCTTCCCTCTGCCGAGAAGCACTAGAGAGACACAAAAACATGTTAGGATGAAAACTACTCCCTTCATGTTCGATTATGAAAGCTTACCATGTAGTGTTCTGCATGAAAGTTGCATGAAAAATGTTAGATTTGTGCTTACAATGTGGAATTTTAACTTCATATGACTTAGAATCGAATGCAATATGGCATAAAAAAAACATTGTGATTAATTCATTCTAATTTGCATTAAAAATAAAGCATATTAAAGGGACAATGCAACAAATTGTAAGGGTCCTAAATGGGAATTTATTTAAGCGAAATATATCTTTAAATTTCTTGATCTGGATATTTTTGGAGAGTTTTTGTGAGATTCACAAAGGTTGAATTAAGAAATTTTGTGTGTTGAATGTTTTGCAATTGTGTGATGAAACAGTACTGCGTGCATTTTTTTAACCATTTAATGATAATGTAAATTCAAAATTTCTGATGAAAGTGGTGCTACAAGCTTTTGTGAGATTCACAAAGGTTGAATTAAGAAATTTTGTGTGTTGAATGTTTTGCAATTGTGTGATGAAAGTACTGCGTGCATTTTTTTAACCATTTAATGATAATGTAAATTCAAAATTTCTGATGAAAGTGGTGCTACAAGTAATAATGAAAATGATCTTTAATTGCAAATACGTCTACAATCTAAGGAAAGAGGGATTGGGAATGATTATAATATTTTAAAAAATATATATATAAAAATGCTATAGTTAAAATTTGGTTAACTAAATTAAGTTGCATTACCATATAAAATAAAAATATTTTATATTTTAAAAGACAATATGTCTGATGTTTGAGTTTATTTTTATATTTTTAAACTTTAGTTTTACAGTAAAATCTAGTAAGAACACCTACATTTTTAAAAATACTTAACAATAAAATTATTACAGTGCTGTTTTTACATTAAAAATAAACACTGTTTTTATTCTTTGTGAATTAATAATTCATGCATCACATTGAGATATATATCTCAACAACATCTCTTTTTTCCCAGTCGACCACTAATGGACAATACACATTTTGTTTTATTATTTCTACTGAATTTTACGTAAAATAAAAATTAAAAATCGTACATGACTACATAAAGTGTTCAGTTCAATTCTCAAATGGTAAACATATTATTAAACTGCAATGCAATATAGCAGATACTTGCATTATGCATATATTGATATTATTTCAGTTTGCGTGCATTCCACTCTAAATATCGAGAAAAAATGTTTTTTGTCAACAACAGATCAACCTAATCCATCTCAAACGTGAACAATCGAATCACGCAGGCTGATTGTAAATAACGACCTTCCGAATCAAGCAATCGGTCTGTTTTACATGGCAATATGCAACCAGGCCTTATAATTTAACATTATTAACTGTTTCAGCATTTGGTCGTAACATATTAAAAGCATAAAACATGGTTGATTAAAGAACCATATTGAGTGTACAGTGTGTTTATGCTGTTAGCTCGACTGGCTAAACTGAGCTCAGTATCAACAAACAGGATCTTCAATATGAACCCTCCACGCAGCATAAAAACCCGCTTCTCATTAAATTAATTTACTGTTGCATTTGTTACAAAGTTCCAGTATCCCGCGGCAGCGGCGATGCGGCCTTTATGACGTCAGCAGCAGCATCCCGATACAAAGTTCCAGAGATACTCACTGCTGCATTCTTCATCGGCGCATCGCTTCAGGTCCGAGAAGCGCCGCTCCGCGCTGCTCCGAGGAAAACACGCGTACAGAACAAGCGTAAAAACATAATAAAAGCAGGGCTTCGGTGCAGCCATGCTGGCAGCTGTTGATCACGGAGCCGCTGCCGACACGTCAGCAGATCCGAGGCGAGCCGAGAGGAGAAGAGAACAGCAGGAGTCATGTTACAGAGCGCTTAAAGAGACCGCAGCACCAAAACAACAGACCACGCATGCGCAGTGCTTTATCAGCATGCACAAGACATGCTTTTTAGAATGTTTGATACGTTTTACCATTTTTAAAAAAATTTTATTAGTGTTTTTTTTTTTCAGGTGCATTGTTGCATAAAGTATTTGATCATAAACACAGTAATGTTTGGGACAAGAAACAAGAAACATTATAAATAGATAGATAGATAGATAGATAGATGATGGATGGATGGATAGAATTAATTTATTTAGAATTGTAATTAAAGGGGGAAAGGCATTTTCACATATAAACAAAAATTAATAAAAGCAAAACTTACAAACCTTTTTATGTCATTGCTGAAATATATCATGTCTATTGTAAAAAAAAATGTTTAAGATATATTTGTGTTTTTGGATGGAAATAAAAACTAATTATATCAATATCAAAATAATTCAGTAATAAAAATACATAAATCAATAAATAAACTGACAATATATATATATATATATATATATATATATATATATAAATACACTAATTATCTCTCTC